TCAAAACCCCGTGAATGGCTCGAGAGCCTGTGCAAGTGGGTGCAGAAACATGGCCGGAGACCGGACTGGCGTGACGAGCACGAGAAGACTATGCTTAGCAGGTGGAAGACTGCTTGCATGCTTTTGCGCAGAGGTAGCTTGAATGTAGCAGAAATTGAGCTGATGGAACGGATGTGCAACATCCTGGCAGAGGATCTTCGGCAGTCTCCGAGAGACGTTGTGCAGGATCTGTTGGCCCAGGGACCGGGAAAGTGTGATCTCCTTGATTGAAGGCAGTGTGCCTTCTTCAGAATTCAAGGACCCTGGTCAACTATGTTCAACTGATGTAGCAGAGTTGCCGAAGCACCGGCAAGATCTCTTGGACAAATCGCCACAGGTGAAGCTGATCAAGGCGCTGTTTTAACAAGCTGCTTCGAGACATCCGAGGCTTCATGTTGCCAGCCAGTGAAACACTGGTGATGGTGACAGATAATGTATTTGCAGCATACCTGCAAGGCACTTAAGGTGCAATTTTCAGGCAGTTTTCGCAAGACTCATCGCGCCAGCTCAGAGCCTCAGGACATCACGTGCCGTGAGACCTTGTACAGTCTAGGCCTACAGCTCTCAGCAGCCTTTGTGCGTGCATCCTGAAGTCTGCCTGCCAATTCCAAATCCTGCGCTAAACAGGCCTCATCAAATTTTGCTAGTTTTATCTTGTCCCATTTGCAACGAGAGCATTGCATCTCCTGCATGTGACATTATGATACAGGACACAGGATTTTGCGTGTAGCGTCTTTGGCATGTTATCTGTTGGACCAAGTTCTGGCTGAGGATGGTCATGGGTCACAGAGCAACACAGCGCTGCACATTGGATCGCCAAAGCACTTTTGTCAATCTCCGGTTTCGTTGTGCAAGTTATGGTTACAGCCTAAGACAGCTTCATGGAAGCGTAGCAACGAATCAAACAAGGAGATGCAGCATAGGCTTGAAAAAATGTGTGTGGCCTTCTTTAGGCCTCCGCAAGGAGTTTGTCACGAAAGCTGAAGCTGAACCTGTGTTCCGTCTACGTCCTGCAAGGGACCTCAGCTAGGCTACAGAAGCAGAATCGCCGCTCACCACGCGCCAGATTGCCTTGCAGCTCATGGGCAGCCATGTCTATCGAGAATGATCTGCAGGTATTTTTGGGAAGGGGTTGCAAGCCCTCCTGTGACTACCAGTGCTATTTGTGTTTTGGGACGTTGTGGAGACTCGAAGCATGATGCTTACTTACCTGGCTCAACCACTGCAAAGCAGTGCTCAGGTGGGGAGTCGTGTCTTCGTCCACGGCCTTGCCTCGGAGACTGGGGCGGCCCTGAACTTCCGCTGCGGTGAGGCCAGGGAAACATAGGAGAGTCTTTCACCGGATCACATTGATTCGCTGCTGGAATAGCTTCTTGAAAGTATGTTGCCCTTTTATGTTTTCTTTTGGCATGGGTTGGTTCGCTGGGGCTGCGGGGGGCCTAGGCAGGTTGTCATTGAGGGTTTCGGGTTTTGTGTTTGATGCGTTTTTGAAATTGTTGCCCACATTATGTAACGCTTCAAGGGCATGCCGCGGGCCTCAAGTTTTCATCGGGGTAGGGTTTACCTTCTTACAAGGGGTCCGGGGCGTATTGAATCTGGAAATGATGAGCCAACAGGCATCAGCGGCTGAAGTTGAGGTTAAGCTACCACCTTGTGGGACTTGTCTGCGAGGTTGTCAGGGCCGAAGAAGATCGCCGGCTTGGTGTTCGAGTTGCTGGAGCTTCAGGCTGCTGATTTGCTGTCAATTTACAGGGGCTGTGTGGAGTGGGGAAGCTTGCTTGCTTCACAAACATGCCTCGAAGTTTTACGCGTCCTTTCTGCAGAAGTTTTGATTTGAAATCCTTCGGTGTATGGCTTGGTTTGGATTGTAGGGGCCGTCTTGGCTTCTGCATCTCTCTCAAGTCATCGCTATGCAGGTCCACCGAAGCTCATCAAGTGACTGGCTCAGTGTATGCTGTATGTATGGATTCAGCTGTAGAGCTGGCATGCCGGTGTACTTGAATCTCAGGTCTAGACAGCAATGGTAGAAATCTGCGCGAGCATTTTGTAAGTAGCGTGTGCTTCCTAGCCCCGTTTGGATGCTGGCTAGGGTGGTGCTGCAACAATGCCCAGTCCCATGCATGAACGCTAGAGTCACTGTTTGGAGTTTGCAGGATTTCTCACTTCCGCTGCACATGGCCTGAACCAAATTCGTGAGTGTTCACAAGCTTGGGCCTGAACACACCGCAAGCAAATGAAAGTCTCTTCAAATAGCTTCCGTGCCACATCCAAGCGCCAAGAGTGCACGCATGGGGAAGAGACGCAGATTTTGCCAGATGGGCTGCAGACAGACGAGATCCGCAACAACCCCCCCGCCAAATCAGCAGGTAGGAATCTTTTTCCTGTCTTTTCTACTTGCCCTTGAGGGGAGTAGCGCATTCTTCCCCTCCTTCAAGGTTTTTGCATCACTCGTGAATCACTCGGTTTTTTCTGAAAGAAGTTCCGCCAGGCGGATGAACCTCCTCAGTGCAAAACGCACAGAGGACCCCTGTCTTGATTTCCTGGGGCAAGATTGGATTGAGTGCAGGTGCGTAACGTAGCAGGGTACGCTCGTGTTTCTGCAGCCATGCATGTATGGCGAGTTTGGCTACGAAGCAGCAGAAGCAGCTCTTTAGGGATGCAGATGCTTCGGGCCCTGCTTTGCTGGAGCTTGGTTGCGGCAGGGGCCTGTGAAGAGGCCTTGGTGGCTTACACCTTTGCGGGGCGAGGAAGTGCCGATGCTATAGGGGAAGTCCTCTCGCGCGTGCTGGGCCTGAGCCCAGTTGCGGTGGGCAAGGCGTTTGATCTCAGCCTCGTTGCAAACTGCAGCCAAGTTCCGCCCTCCGCAAGGACTCATCTCTGTTACGAGCTGAGCGATGCGGCTGACGGCCGGATCCGCATCGCTGCTACAAGCGGCCCGGAGCTTGCGTATGGTGCAGCTTGGTATTTGCGAACGCGCTGCAACATGTCTTTCTCCTGGAATCGCACTGGCGGAAATCAGGTTTCTGTCCCGAAGTCCTGGCCTCCTGTGGGAGAGACAATCATCAAGTACCGTAAGGTGCCCATGAGCTATTTCAACAACGTTGTCACTTTCAGCTACAGCTACGCTTGGTACAAGTTCCAGGATTGGGAAGCCTGGCTTGACTGGGCTGTTCTGAATGGGATCAACTTGGCCATTGCGTATACAGGACAGGAGGAGATCTACCGAAAAACTTTCAACACCTTCGGAGTCAAGGATTCCGAGTTTGCAGCCTGGAGCAACGGTGCGGCCTGGCTGGCCTGGAGCCGTGGACAATCCATGCACGGAATCGGGAGCAGCTGTGGAGATGCTTGTATGCCTTTGCCTTTATCCTGGATGAAAGCGCAATGGGAGCTGCAGAAGCGGATCCTAAGCCGTAGCCGAAGCCTGGGCTTAGTCTCCGTGCTGCCCACCTTCCAGGGGAACGTCCCTCCTGTCTTCCGACAGCTTTACCCCAAGGCCAACATCAGCAAGACTGGGGCGGCCTGGCTGGATGACTTGGACCCCTTGTTCGCCCAAATTCAGAAGCGCTACATGGAGACGATGATCCAAGACTGGGGAACAGATCATTGGTACGAAACAGATGGCTATTTCAACCAGAAGCAGGGCCCCTGGGCTCGAACTTCTCAAACTGGCCTCAGTGCAGAAAGTGTAGAAAGGCCGCGTCCGCAGCGTTGGCAGCGCCCTGAGGATGTGCCGGTGGATGCTGATGCCTTTGCCCACGCAAAGGCGGCATATGAGTCCATGAGCCTTTGCGTTAATGAGTCAGTGCAATGTTGTTGACTAGTCATGCGCCTGGTTGCTTGAAACCTAGAGCGCACCCTGCTTACTGCTCGTGCAGCAGCCTTACATTTGCGCTGACGTGAGCCACTAGCCACCAAAACAAGCGAATGTAGGGGCCAAACCCGTGATCCACCTGGCAACGACCATTTTACCTGCCGTGGCATCCGAAGCATGTCTGGCGCCTCGTCCAAGCCTGTGGCCATTCCCATCACAGGGCTGCAGCTTGAATCAGCTTGACGTTTGGCTGGCAAAGGCCCTGTCATTACTCATGTTGCTCCCTTCTTCGGCTCAGAGTCTGGGAGTGTTTCTCCTGATGTTCAAGGGTGTTGTTCCACCACCCCATGCTCAGCCAATGCAGCTTTTGTGAGTTTTGTACATTGCTGTTTTCTCCGCGATTCTAGTTCTGCGTAATTATAGTTGTATTTAATGCCTAGTGTGTTGGAGCATTCGATGTCCTGCTTCTCCTCTTCTCATTTGCAATGCAGGTTCATTCAACATTTTTGAACTATGCATGTATAAGCTGTTTTCTGTGTGTGTTTTTTGTAACCTGGCTTCGCAATTTATGAATTAGACCTGTTCACGCTGAACAAAGTGCTGAGGAGCAAGGTTGATCCTCAAGCGGTTTGGCTCTACCAGGGCTGGATCTGGCGTGGCTGGGGGGAAGACAAATTGCCCTTTATGAAGGGCTTTGTTTCTGCGGTGCCCTCCAAGCATTTTGTCATGCTGGACATGTTCGATGAGGTTGATCCAGAGTGGAACAAATTCAATTATTTCGGCTATTTCGGCACGCCTTTCATCTGGTCTGTGCTACACAACTTCGGAGGCAATACTGGAATGTGGGGAAGCATCCCATCCTTGTTGCTGAGCTGCTCTCCAGTACATCTTTTGAGCATTCAGGAAGATTGCCTGCTCCTTGTGTTATGAGTTATGACCTTTGTTTTGCAGCTGTCTGTAGCACAGCCTGCTATAAACGAATGCAAATTTGTAATCAGGAATTCTGGCTTCCCTGATGCCTTCCAGCACACGGACAACGTGGCGGGAACTGGCGCTGCGCCTGAAGGTATTGACCAGAAGCTTGGACTTGTGTTCGTTGCACGCATCTAACTTGATAGCTCGGACGCCAACATGTAGATGGCCTGCGCAGTTCAACTGTGCAACATGCATTTCTAACCCATGAAGTGTGTGATCTCAGGAATCCCTTCTACTACAGCTTCGTCACAGATCTGCCCTGGCAGCCTGGCCCCGTAGACTTGCAGCTTTGGGCTCAGAGTTGGGCTAGGCAGCGCTATGGCCACAGCTCCCCAGCCGCAGAGGAGGCTGGATAAGCAATATCTTGGAAGGGAAGCCTAAGCATGTTTGCAAATATATTAAGTGTACCTCCGTTCATATGTATCGAATGAGCACCACTGTGTTACTCAAGTTGCCCCTTGTCAGAGCAGGAAGCATTTAAGTTGCGGCCAGGCGTGCCAGCTGTTGCTGGGGTCTGTCTACGCCAATGCCACCAATGCCAAAGCCATCCACAGCAAAGGCCCATTCCAGGCTGAGAAGAATGCTGACGGCCTCACAGCCCTGGCATTTGGCGGAGGCATCTTGCCGGCAGACGCAAGTGGCAGAGCGCCTAGACACATTTGCAAAAAGTGAGCAGATCCTTCAAGGTCTTGCCACGCCGCATGAAAGCTGGTACAAGCTCTCGGATGTCGTGAAAGCCTGGGGCAAGCTGAATGAGGCAGGGAGTTTGCTGGCGGCAACCCTGAACAGCTCAATTTTTTTTTTGAAGAGGCAGCTGAAGGCGGTGTCACCCAGACCATGAGGTACGACCTCGTGAATCTGGGGCGGGAGGCGCTGGGAGTCTAGGTTGTTCCTGACAGCACCGGCGGGTCCAAGTGTAAATTCTGACCTATACCCAGACATTGCGAGGTTCTTGGGAAGATCTCCAACGGCTTCTTTACAAAGATGGTCGGTGCTACAACGCCTTCAGAGGCAGACCTGAGTTATGCGAGTCGCAACAAGTTGCATTTGCAACATCCCCTTCAACCTCCCCACTTTTCAATCCTGAAGCGGCAAGCGGCTGGCCCCTAGCTGTCCCTTGACGGCTCCTGGATCCCTGCTGGCCAGAAGGTGCAGTCGGCTGGGAGCTCACTGTTGCAAGTCCTTGCTGATGCAGACCGCTCCTGGGACATCATACACAAGAGCCTGCCTTTTGCAGCTTGAACTGTGCATGTCTCGCTGCAAGGGCAGTTTCATAGATATATATATATATCTATATCCTCTGTTACCTACCTTCACGAGGTCTGCTCTGCAGTGACCATGGCTTCCTGGCCAGCGCTTGGATCAGGTGCCTGGCGTTCAGTTGCCAGCAGCTGTGATCGTTACGTGTGAGTGCACCGTGTATACCAAGCCTCTGAAGGAGTGCCAAAACCTGGGCGAACGGCAATGCTACGTTGGAGCGACCGTGTTGTCTGGCTTTGGGTGCTGGTGCTTCAGGGTTCGAGCATAGCATTGGTATACAATCTCTCATGTTGGCGTTGAGCGTTTCGCGATGATTCTATGATAATTCAAGGCTCAAGGGGCTGCCCCCAGGAGCGTGCAACGCAGGCTGTTGGGCTCGAAGCAAACCCTAAATCCCAAGCGTAGGAGGTCGCGTCCGCGCCACCCCCCCGCCCCTCTAACCCCAATGCACGCACGCAACCGGAGCGCGCGCGCTCGCCTCCCTTCCCAGAACCCCGTGGCGAGGGCTAGAGGACGACAGAGCCTGAGCCTCTATTGCACACGGGAGGCAAGGGCTGACGCGACGAGTTCAGGTGTCAGCCGCTGTCAGCCAGCTTGATTCTGCGGTCATTTCGAGTTAGGGGAGCGGAGGCCCCCAACTAATGTATCGATTATCAAGTGTATACTGATCCCGCCACCTGTACCAGGTGTGGAAAATAATCACCTATTTTGGGCGCGATTGCTGACATGTAGCGAGGCATTTATAATGTAGACTACGTAGGTTAAAAGAACTTTCGGGAATCGTGATACCATAATTTGGATACTGCCCTTGAACATTTTAAAGTTGTTATGGGGGCCATGAATGGGAAGGGACGCTCCAAAAGGTTCGCTTCTCAATCACTAAAAAATCTCTGAGAAGAGCGGCTAGCACAAGTCGTTATGGGGGCCATGGATGGGAAAGGCCGCTCCAAAAGGTTCGTTTCTCAATCACTAAGAAAAATTCTCTGAGAAGAGCGGCTAGCACAAGGCCCCGGGGGGGGGGGCCGAGGAAATGGGGGGCGGAAGCACGGGGGGCGGTTCGCCCGCACAGCCTAGGGGCAACCTCGTCTCAAAATTGGCTTTGGCAGGGACGGGGGGGGAATGAGGGGCCTGTGGACAAGGGGGCCGGGAGGAGGCACCCTAGGGTCGCCGGGAGGGAGGTCTAGGGGCAACCTTTCACAAACACGTGGTTCGCTTGCGCAGTTCTGAATCATTAAATGGCGGACATGAACATCGATGTGCCGGTCTCTGACGATCGCCGCGTTGAAGTTGTCGCCCATGGTGCTGCTGCTTTGGCAAGGTACCCAATTGACCATCGTTTCGCCGCAACCACTTTGGCTCAAGTTTTGGTTTTGTTGATGCCGCGAGTGGATCCTCAAAATATTCCCTTTTCGACCCGGAATAACAATCCCGATATGGGCTACGCACTCCGGTGTGGCTCGCTCTGCGCACTCCATACAGAATTGAATTTTTTGTAAGAGCAAATCTGCATACGTATATATGTATATATAAATATTGTTTTTTTTGGGGGGGAGGGGGGGTGGAAGGTTCCTTTATCTCCTCTCGCAGGAGTCTGAGGACATTTCGGCGGCATGTTCTTGAATGTCCTGTCTGGCACGCTGCCCCCCGTGTTCCCTGGAGCCCCTTCACTCCGCCACGATGCATTCAGCTTGAGGCTCAGAACTGGGCACTTGCAGTCACGACAGCCAATGTGCTAGAACGCGCAGATCTTTTTGGGGAGATAATAAAGGAGGTTGGAAACAGGGCTCGACTTTGTGAACAACGGCTCGAAGGGCGGATGCGTTGCAAAAGCCGGACGTCGGCATGCTGCGGAATGTTGATGGCAGACGCGTGAAACGTGCGCCGAGAAGGAAGTTGAGCTTCAAGTTTCCTATTAACGTGTGGTGTTCTCTACTGCAAGGCTCACACCTTGTTCCTTCATGGCTTTCCTTTGCAATCGGATGTGAAATTCTCTGAGGAATCACGGTGGCTCGCCCATTTCAGAGGCGAGCACGCGAGCTCCTGATGGCCCATCTCCTTCGGAGGGCGGAAGCAGCCTTCCAGCGGAGCGGCCTCCAAGCAGCATCAGCTTTGTGGCATCAGTGCTTTTTGCAGGCCAACTGCAAGTATGAACTTCTTGTTCCGTCCATGCCAAGGTCCTGTGAAGAGGTGGTATCAAGCCGCGAGGCCCGGACGCCTCAAAGCTGCCTTGAAAGGATGATGAGAACCACGGCGCTTGCTATGGACTTCAATGACTACTATCGGCCTTCTAGTGCCCTGGAAAGGCCATGCTCTCATGGCAGTGCTTGTGGCAGCTGAAGCGGTATCAAGCCGCCAACAAAACACAAGCTGCATGGTGGCGGCTTAGGGATGCTTCGGGGTCTGTAATGTGAGATTCGGGTTGACTGAGGGGGATTCGGTCCTTGGGGTTTTGAGGTGCAAGGTTTGGGGATGCCTTGTCAAGGCCTGAAAGCCGCAGATGCCACAACCCCAACAGCCTTACTTGGAGTTTCGGTTTCAGGGTATCAGCCTTGAGCTCTAAACATTCCCTAGGAGAAAGGGGGGCGCAGTTCTGAATCGGTTAAAAACGTGTTTTTTCACGAACTCAGAACTGCGCGGGTGAACCGCCCCGCGTTTTTCTGAAAGGTTGCCGCCCTGCCTCTTCTCCCATGGACCCTCCATCCCCCACGCGCTAGCCCCCCTTCCCTACCCCTTCACGTCTCAGAGGTTTTTTGATTCAAAGCTGCGCGAGTGAACCGCTACACATGTTTTGAGAGGAGAGGTTGCCCCCTCCCCATCCATCAGCCCCCAACTTCCGCGCACCTGCAATTCTGAGAGAATTTTTTTTTAGTGCGTCAGCCATGGATGGGAGCAGCTGCAGGGGGGTCGCTAGGCAAGCACTTTAAAAAATAGGGGGGCGCTGCGCTCGCACAGTTAAAAAACAATTTCGCTCAGAATTGGTTGCCCGCGGGGAAGTTGGGGCTCATGGACGGGGGGGACGGGGGGGGGCGGGGCCTGCAGGGCTGGCATGGGGGGAGGGGTGGGGAAGTTGGGGGTCCATGAATGGGGGGGCCTACGGCCAACTCCTTCTGAACCTGGGGCTTTCGCTCGCACAGGTCTGGTGGGGGCCGCTAGGGAATTGATGTAGAGGAAAACAAAGCAAGAAAAGCTTCACTATGCGCTCGCCTTGACAAGGCGGGGTCAGCGGATCAGGCAAATTAAATCTCAGTTTTTCTGACTAGCAGCAGTAGCAATTACTATTATCATGGGTCGTAGTAGCAGTAGTATTCGTGTTCATGCTGCTGCTACTACTGCTACTACTGCTACTACTGCTACTACTGCTACTGCTGCAACAACAACAACTACTACTACTACTACTAATACTACTACTACTACTACTACTACTATTACGACTACTACCACCGCCACCTGGTAGTTTTACTTCTACGTCTACCATACCTTGGCTTCCATTTCCGCCTCCACCTCCTCTGCTGCTCCTGCTGCGGGTGCAGCTGCTGCTACCATCCCTAGTATTACCAGCATCATCTGATGATGTTTTCCTACTCAGCATGCATCTCGCTACTGGTGTTTAAACTAGTGTTAGAGTATCACTTGAAGCTGCAGGAGCGCTACCTTGAGCTTGCAGCGCGGAGCCTCACGACCGTCTGGACGCCACAGGAGCAGCTCCTAGGGCTTCGCATGGCAGGGTACTTCTGTAGGACTGAGCCCCTTCTGTAGACTCACCGCGGGCTCCAGGGTACTGTTTAGGGGTTATATTATAGGCGTAATGGAAAAGAAAATAGAAAATAGTATTGTATATTAGGGGTCCCTTTCAAGAGGTTTATAAGGGTTTTATAGAGGTGATGCAATTTTTCCTGCCGCTGTCAGAGCGGAGGCCCCTTTGTAGTTTTCCACAGGCCACTGTTGCGCTGCAATCTTTCACTTTTTACCGGGCGCTTTTAGAGCCAGTAAGGGCTTCAGGTTTCAGGGCAGTGAAGCGTGTAGGGTTCAGGGATGCAGACATTTTGATTGCAGTGGCAAGTGAAGAGGAATGAGCAGTTGTACGCGCTAGTTTTTATGATGGAAGCCGATGCAAGATGTCAGTTGGTCCTTGCAAAACATGATTCTCTTCGGGTCCCAGACGCTATCCAAACTCTGCAAGAAGCCTGACACCATAAACTCATCAAAGAGAACCTTCAAGTCGCCTCAAGCCTAAACCTTCAACCTACCTGAGGCATTCTAGCTCCATAACGACACTCTGCGACTATGCCAATCGTCAATGGGCTGGCCAGGCAGTCTTCAGAGATGGTCTCCGTGTTTGAAATAGGCTTTGCATGGCGTAGGTAGGGAGTACATACACTATGTGAGCTATAATATGAACGTATATAAGCTCCTTAAAGGGGGTGATATAGGGCTTGTCTTGGGAGGAATATAGTGTTTACGGAGACTTTTCCCGAAACAGGGGTGGGATGCAGCAAGAGGAAATCTAGGGGCTCAAGCCTCAAATTTTGTTTTCATCAATTCTCCTTCCAAGAAAATCTTTGCGGGCTTTTGTGCCTGCCTGCATATTTTTTTTCATGTATGTTGTTGGCTCCGATGGACAGTTGAACCCAATAAATCTTAGATCAGTTTGGACGTCAGGGTGACAGAACATGATTTTGGCGGGAGGCAGTTTCAACCAGAAAGACGACAAAGCCTGAGTCTCCCACTGTGATGGTGGGAGGAGAGGGTTTCGACGACAAAGACGACAAGATTCGAGCCTCCCGCTGTGATAGTGGGAGGCGAGGGCTGGCCACGACAACGTCCGAGGAATCATTCCAAAATTTGTCTTGGCTATATGGACACGTCTGCAGATATTTGCGGCTTAGGCCCACAAGATTTTGTTCCAGTCCTCCACGTCAAAGTGCCATGAATACTCAAAATCGGTGACTAGCCTTTTGATATATATTCTCGATTGCCCCTCATGCGCCCGGGAATTATTCCAGCAAAATGCGATAACCCCCCTACGTATGTTCAATCCCCAGTGAAGCTCACAATATGTTATCGTAGTTGCCATGTGGTGCCTGTTTTCAACTGGTTACGTTCTGCTATCATTTGCTTGTACTTCCTTTGATCAACACAGTCTCCACAGGTTGGAGGGTTCTACACGCTCAGACACAAGTGCTACATCAAGCAGGCTCGTCGAGTCATGGTTGGAGGTATCAGATACCCAACCCCCGAGCACTGGCCATCTGACCATCTGTGCCGAGGCCGTGGAGGACCTCACAGCCAAGAAGCAAGTCAACAAAACCGCGCTTCCTGGATGATCTTAAGCTGCCGCCAGGAGATGCAACAGAGTAGGTTGAACTGAACGGCCGCATTTTTTGGCCATGTCTTGCCACTGAGGTTTGACGCGTGCGTTGCAAGTTCCAGCTACGAATGGACCCACGACTTTGGATCGGCAACATACCCAATGTGTGAGGAGCCAACCAGCGTCTTCGTCCAGACCAAGTCGTAATAAGATGAAGCATCATGTGGATGTGAGCATGCCAACGATTATTTCAGGGATGGTTGTAGAATGAGAAGATTGTCAATGGGGGTATTTTCAATACTCCCTACAAGGTCCTACAAGAGGATTCACAAAATCATCGTAAGATCCTGAAATATCCTGACAGATCCCTGGGTTGGTGGTATTGTACTTCAGTGCTAACTTCCAATTGCAGCTGGCCCTCCCGTCGACCACAGCTCCTAGGCTTATAATGTAGGCAGATCTCTTGTGAGGGGTCTCTTGTTCGCTGTCGGAATAGGATACATTTTTTTTGAACAACCTGCCACATCCCTGCTTGAATCTTTTCTGCGCTTCTGTATTCTCTTGAACGCCATGGTAAGGCGATGTGCTGGGCATCAGCAAGGAGCTGTTTGAAAAGTACGGCCGCTCTGAGCCAGAGACCAGTCTGTGGGTTTAGAATGCTCATCGCCTGGCCATGTTTGGCCACCGGTTTGAGAAGTGACCCATCCTGAGCAGTCAGCGTGTGCACGGATGGTTTTGCCACGTGACACGAGGGATGCATCGTGCAGGGGCACGGCACTGAATCGAACTGAAAGCTCCGACGGTCACCGAAAATCTTACTCGCTCTGCCCGGCACCGTCCCCCTGCATCCGAAGCTTCCTATGGCTGCTTTGGAACATTTATATGGCTGGCAAGAGGCATCTGCTGAGTGCTGCCGAAGCCAGGGCAGAGTGCGCAGTGTATAGTAAGCTCAGCGTTGCCACATGCTGTCACCCTAAGCGTTGACGCAGGTAACAAAAGAGATGGATCCCCCTTAGCAAACCCGGTGATATTGAAGGAAGCCCTGAACAAACATGCCATGTCATGAGCTCTCTGTCTCAAGCTAGCACGCTTAGCTCAAGACGAGTTTAAAAGAAGCAAGTTACGGTGACCTGCTCACAAGAAAGACCTAGCCATGAAAACTGCGTATGTCTTTGTTTCTTCCAATTAGAAATTCCCAAGTCAGCTGCTGTTTGAGCTAATCACAGCCAGTCTTCTGTTTTCGAGCCTATGTCCATGTGTGATCAGAATAGCGGCAACTGAAATGACTTTAGCCAGAGTCGGAAAAAGCAGGAAATGCCGGAACCCTCTATGAACCTGCAGGATCGGCGGCTGCTGCTGGGTCTCCTAGCTCTGCAGCGCTCTCCGGAACTTCGCGCTCTGCGGCCGCTGTGCCGCGAGCGCCTCAACGCCACCCGGGCAAGAAAATCAGGGGCTTGACAGAACTGTGTTGGGATCCATGTGTGAGCTCCAAGTCCAATCCTCAAGGACGACCAGGGGCTCATGCTACTGGTGGCCTCCTACGTCACGGAGCCTCCCATGTGCCTCTTTCAGTTCGGCGGTTTCATGCGGAAGGTGTGGCCAGAGCACTGGCGCCTTGCCTGCACAGAGGCGGATTTCTGTGTCACCATGGACCACCTGCCTCGGAAAGGGTTTCGCGAGGTGCTACAAGTGCTTTTTCCCTGGAGCAACACAGTTTGTCTGCAGAAGTAGTTTTGGTGTCCTTGTCGAGCCTTGCCTGGGATTGAGGCGCTTTGCAGACCCTGCGAAGCCCGTGGCCATAGCTCAGCCGCCTGAGTTGAGGCCTCCCGGGTCATTGGTAGCCTGAGGAGTGTTGAGGTATGGAGCAATGGGATCTCGAGAACAGTAAGGCTTCAAACTCCCGGAGATCTTTGATTGACAACAGTTGGTGGTTTTCAGAACAGCAAGACAGTTTTGGGATTTCCAGAGCAGCTCAGCTGATTCTGCAAACTCTGGCTCTTTGATGCAAATGGTTTGATGCAGGGATGCAATGTTGATTCATTTGATTCAGTTCTATTTGACGATGCCAAGTAATGGTCGGCACTGTGCTGATCTTCAAAGTGCTGCAGCATCTTCAGACGACTACTATTATTGATATTCTTATTGTTATCATCACCACCACCACCACCGCCGCCGCCGCCACCGCCACCACCACCACCACCACCACCACCACCACCACCACCACCACCACCACCAAGACCACCAAGACCGCCGCCGACGACGACGAGGACGAGGACGAGGACGAGGACCACTTCCGTTTCACCCCTGCCAACGCAGTCCCCGCTACTAGCTCTACAAAAAACACTACCACTACCAACAATCCGACATCCCTGGCTGCAAAACACAAAAACCCTCACATCGCCATCGGCCGCTTTCAATCAGGCTCGACTGTGCATGCTGCGATATGGGCCTCGGCAGAGTGTTCTTTGCAGGCCGGTGGAGCGAGCCATCTTTTTGATGTATGCAATAACTTGGTTCGTGTGAGGTGGCTGCGGGAAGCATCCGGGAGCTTGCAGCCTGGACGAGCGCCTTGGCCGATGATGCCAGGCTTGTCCTGCAGCACGGGGTTGATTTTCTTTAACGGGGTGCATGCTGCTCATTTGTGCTGAACACGTGCAGTGACGCATGCTTCCTATTCTCTGAGGTTTTTCAATTCTGCAGAAACCTACGATTCCCTCACGGATGAGTGGTCATCCCTCCCTGCAATGCCTACTCGGCGGCATGGCGCTTGCGTTGCCTGAGCTGCAGAAAGACTCAGATGAAATCTGCAGACCTGATGCTGCTACCATCCTTTTTGTTGTCAATCCTGCAAACTTCCTGTACTGTAATTGCTACTCTAGTCTTTTGCCTCTCTTCGGTCCAGTGTGTTGGTCCCTGGCAGCTTCAAACTTGCGGAAGTTTTGGTTTCGGAACGTTATGCAGGCTTGCTTCCTGGATGGCAAGGTGTACGTTCTCGGTGGCATGCACCCTTACTGAAAATTTGCCTAGACGCCTAGACATGAACTTTGGAAATGTGACTGACCATCTTTGATCTCCGTTGTTCAATGAAATCTTTTTGCCGTCGCTGGAAAGTTGCCGCTAGGCAAGAGTTTGCTTGGTGTTGAAAGATCTTCAAGATCCCTGGCTATCACGGCTCAAGCCTCTTCTGTGGCAAGCTATGTAGCGATCCTTCCGTGATACCCACTCAGACCCATGACCGAATCTCCTCTCAACTGGCTCAGATTGAGATACTTGAGCTCACTGACCCATGCAGTGTAAGCATGGCCTCTACATTGCCAAAGTAGTCAGGCTAGCATAGGTCCAAAGCGTCAGGTTCCTACCAGAAGATGGCTCCCTACAAAGGCTTCTTCCATTTTGGGAACTGTGATTCCAGCAAGCCGTGACTGCCCACTTGACTATCAGCTGGCAACATAGCAACACCATAGATCCCCACTTCAATGGCTCGGCCGTAACACGCTTCTTGCTGGTGAGCTGCTGGCCTGCCTGGCATGGGCTATGGCGCAGCCTACCTGCACCTGGACCAAGGTCCTGGCTGCAATTTGCGTCCGGCATGTCACATAAGCACAGTGAGGTTCCGGACAGCGGGGTAGACTTCTGCTATGTGACGGTGTATGAAGCGCACCAACTCATGAAGAATGACAAGGTCCGGCACTTGCAGATCTCGCTGCTGAATTCTGCATGGCTGTGCCTGTATGTTTAAAGCTCCGGAAACATGTCATGCAACGGCGTCCAGCAGGCTGTTTTCGTGGACAGCAGAGACGACGACGACTTCAAGAACTGGGCTTCAGAAAAGAATTTGCTGAAACTACCTGGGCACTTATTTTCTACTTTGCATACAACTTCTATGCTTGGTGCAGCGAGGACTACACGCATCCAGACCTCCTTCCATCTGTCGGCGAATTCGCTAATCATGAAGGCCGGCGGTGCTCCTCGGCCCGTCGTTCATGCAGAAGCCAGAAGGTTTGTTTATGCTGGCGGATTTTAGACAGCTGCTGCATCGCCGCTGGTCAGTGCATGCTCAACTGAGGCAGACAAGGGTGTAGTCCAGCAGCTGGTGGATTTGGTGAACTCCGGCAAGACGCTGGTGTGCCTCAGTGTGGCCTGGCTAAATCACGGTTTGAGTGTTCAGAAGGTCTTTCGGGTCTTCAGGTTTTGGCTCAGATGGGTTTCTAGGGTTGTCGTAGTAGCCGGAGTGGCAGTCAGATGGTCACATGGCGAGGAATCTCGATTTGTCCTTATGTCTCACGGGGCAACTGAGTGACATAAATCTAAGGATGCCTGCGTCAAGGGCAACATCAATCGTGGCCATGTGTCGCGCTGCCGGCACATTGCACAGCCCCTTGCAGCACCACAAGTAGGGATTCAGAGCTTGTGAGTCAGGCAGCAGCTGCGTGGTTTTCTGCACCACCTTGTTGAGACTGGACAAAGTGTGAGGTATTTGGTTGAAATGGGGGCAGATCGCGGGAGAATCGTGCGAATGACCGGTGGCATCAACGCCTGGAAAAAGGCGTCACTGGGCGCAGCAATGGACCTGATTTTCGGCATCTGCAAGCTAGCCGAGCTTAGATGAGACAGGAGTACAATGCTGCACACATTAAACACCCCTGTGTAGTTTCCATTTCATTTTCCATTAGCCCTATATGCCCCCCTCTAACCTCTAACCCCTACGGTTTTTCTTGTTTTGATGAGCATTCCTGAGGCAGCTTGATGGAATTCTGGGAGACCTCCGGCCCATGTACGCTGGGGTGCTCAAGGCCTCGGGGCTGAAGCTTCTTCCGGCCTTTCGTAAAGCCTAAATACCCCAAAGAGGCTTTGAGCATGCCAAGGGCTTGTGGTCCACCCCTACTGCTTTCTTGATAGGGGGCGGATGCGGCAATATGAAATTCTGGGGCTCAAGCCTCAAATGCTGGTTTGATCGATTCCTCATACATCATTTCATCTCCGGGTCCCTGTGGCTGCCTGCAGGATTTTCTTTTGTGTAGGTTGTTAGCTCCTGTGGAATGTTCCACCCAAGAAACCTTATGTCAGTGGACGAACAGCTTGGGGGCTATAGGGGGGGCAGGATTTTATGTCGGCGCACTGGGCAACCTCCCACTGTGATAGTGGCAGGCGGTTTCGACGGCAAAGACAACAAAGCCTGAGTCTCCCACTGTGATAGTGGTAAGCGAGGGTTTCGACGACAACGACGACAAAGCCTGAGCCTCCCGCTGTGATAGCGGGAGGCGAGGGCTTGGGACCACACCGCTCGAGGAGGCATTCCAAAACTTTGGGTTGGCCATGCGGATATGTGTGCGGCTTAGGCCTGAAAGATTTAATGCCAGGCCTCCGGTCCACGTCCAATAGCAATGAAGGTTCAAAATCGTCGATTCTCGAGGCCCTATATGGCCCATATGTGCTCTCTATTGCCCCTCATGCTCCCAGGAATTTATCCAGATGAAGTCTCGAGATAACCTTCCTATAGTTAATTCCAAAGATCCCATGACCTAGATTCCAGCTGCTTCAAATCATGGAAGTTTAACATGGTAGTTTTTCCGTATAATGAGTATGACCGCATGTTTTAGGACCTTGTTTCCTTGTGATCTCAACCCCAAGGCCTATGAACCCTAAACCCCCAAACCCTAAATTCTAAAGCCTACACAGAAAAAATACTAGGGCTTCTGACAGGGCACAAACCACGCTAAAGCACTGGCGAAGGAAGTAGGGCCGCGCCTAAAAGGCGTCTTTACGGGCTTGACCTGTTCAGAAAAGGTCAAAACAAAGAAAACCTACACATTATAGAACCTTGAACCCCTAAACCCAGTTGCTTTCCAAGGCTGCGGACTTTGAACCGCCTCAGGAGGGCCGTGAGGAGGAGGCTGAGGCTTGGAGTCCTGGGCCTTTGTCAGGGCAACTGGGGAGGATGTTGGGCTTGGGGTTAGTCGTGCTAGGGATTTAGGATTAGGGCTCTAGAACTTAAAGTCTACAGACTTGCTGTTTGGGTTTAGGATGTGGGGCTGAAGGTTGCAAGTCTAGGATCGTGGGTTTGAGGAATTCATTGTCAAGGTTTGGGTGTTAGAATCCGCTTGCATTCTACCTAGCATGGATTCAAACAGGGTGTAAGATGGATCCTATATATCTTCACATGACGGCAACTTGTGGTCATCATAATATGGAGGAGGACTGCCGCTAGTTGCAATTGTGCTGGTCAATAGCAAAAGAAGATGTGCTCTTTGTAGTGTCAACTTGCAAAATTTTATCGTATAATTTGCTCATGATAAAGGCACACACGCGGGAGTTACCAAAAAGTGGCGGCCTTCAGAGAAGGTCTTCTGAGAACTGCCCTTATTTGGGAAACTTATGTGTGATAGTCATACTGTGGCATATTATGCGCCATGCTGAAGTCGCATACATACTCAGGGGTTTTCATTGATGGTATAAAGGGCCAGTTCAAGATTTTTCTAGCCCCACCACAATGTTCAACTCTCTGATAACGAGATTATTTCATCAAAGGACGTAATTTGGGATTCCCTTCGCATCTCTTCAACTCTCTAAACAACGTCTAGAACTCCTCATCCCATTAAGCTGCGCAAACTGGGGACGCTGCGCAAATCCTGATGCTCCTGCACCCTGAACCTGCGGGCCCAGAGGAAGAGCAAGCCGGGCCACTGGGTGCGGTCCCAGCAGTGTCCAGCGGTGGCGGCGGCGGAGGTCACACCGACGAGCTAGACGTTGAGGTTTACGTTTCAGAGTGTTAGGCTTTGTGATTTGTTGTTTCTGGGTTGAGGGTTTTGTTTTGCTCAGGGCTTTGGATTAGGTGTCGGGGCACTCGCGGAATCCATTTATAATGCGGTTTCTATTCGGTTTCTCTTTGGGTTTTCACAGGCCAAGGCGAGGTTACTCTAGGTTTGTGCATGTATTTGCACACCTTTAACAAGGAAAAAAAAGGCAACCGACCAACCACCTGTGCCCACCCCTACCCAGGGAAGCTAGCAGCAAGGCGCTAGCCGCCAGCGGCCCAGGCATGATCCAATAGTACAGGGCTAGTATGGGGTTGCTTAGGTACCATCAGGTTATCATGGGGTGATCAAGGGCTACAACTCAGACTCAGCAATATGCTAGCACCCTAGACTAAACGCCAAAGCCCAAGCGCAACAACCTAATCCCCTCCCCTCATAATGCAACCCCATACCGCTGAAGTAAGTCCCCCTAACAATAAACACTCCGAATCTGATCACAATACACTACGGTGGGATGATCTGATTTTTAGTGGGCGGGATGAAGCAGTTGAGGCTACGCCAGTGCAAGCCCCGAGCTGGCATCCGGTCTCAAGGCGAGGCTGTTTCACACAAGGGAAGCAGAAGCAGCAGCGTCTTTCGGGTTGTGCCACAAGTGTGCTAAAGCGGTTGGACGCCATAGGAGCTCTGTTTTATGACCAGTTCAGGTACGGGGTTAGAATTTTTCTGGAGCACAGATTCCACTTCTTGGCCATCTCAAGACGAAAGACAAGTTGCAAGACTTGTTCCTTTAAGACGTATTTCCTGATTTTAGGAGAAGGAGCTTCCATCATGCCTTTTCTTTGGCAGAGCGTATCACTTAGAATCCAGTTTGGGACTTTCCGTGTCTTAAACTTCGACAGTGGCTTTTGAGAGCGTCCTGGAAGCCAACAGCTCGGCGTGTTGAGAAGTGGTTAGACAAGCACGGAGTCTTGCCATAGAGCGCATCTATCTCGAGCACGCTGAAGGTGGAAATCAAGGGGCTGGCTGCTTGACTGAAAAGTCTGAGGAGGTTGACATTCAGTAGAGGGACTGCTGCGCGGTATCAAGCAGGCTAAAGCTGAATCCTTGGCGATTCTGACAGCTTGGAAGAATAAAAGAAGATGTCCATCTTGTGTTCACTTGTTCGCAGTGTCTTGACACTTTAAGCTCGATCTGGGAAGTGAGACAAGTCCAGTAGCACGCTTGCAATGCTTGACCTTCCTTGCAAATACTGTTGCAAAGCATCAGATTGCAGTATCTGTAGCTGTTAGCTTTTCATGCGGCTGTCGCCCACACTCAAACAAGCTTTATACATCGATGTCAAATTTTGTGCGACAGATGCTGTGTGGCACGCGATGCTTCAGCCCACCACAGCATTGTCTGGAAAAGGGTACGGATGTTGCATCTATGACGGCAAAAACTGAGGTTTCTTTTGTCAAGGTCTCTTCAGTATCAATCGTGTGCTTTCTGATCAGTAGGTACACATACAGCAAAGCTGGACGATCAAAGTTCCTGCACTTCTACAGCAAACTAAGGTGTCCCGTGCAGACCTAAACGGAAAGAAAGCGTGTATCAAGGAGCCTTCGCAGCAACGACATGAAGAAACGTGCGGGATAGTAGTGATGGTTAATGACGACTAGTAAAATTGGCATCATTTGATGTGCTGGAACCGGCTCACTGCTGAACATGTCCATTGGTCTCTCTGAGAAGTAGGCAGTGTTCAGCAGACCTTGGACAGCGTTGCTGTGTCAGTTTCAAGTTACTTCCACCAATTTACATTGAGGAGTTTGTCCAGAGTTCCGAGCGCTGGGAACTGGAGCTCTTAGATGATACGAAGGAGCGCGTCCGCAATTTGGCCCATGTTACGTACATGAGTCAGAGTTAGGGGGGTGTGCTGTGAAGAGTCCCAGGCAGTTTGATTGTACGAATTGAGCAAGATTAAGATCACGGCTCAACTGAGGCTGTAAGCCTGAGTGTCTCAAGGTCGTGCCTGCGCCTTGTATGCATGCTCCGTTTTGCAGTGTGCAAAGGGCATGCTTGTTTTGGGCTGGGGATTTTCGTTGGCAGCCAAGGAAGCGGCACCTGCAGCTCCAGTGGCACGTCCAGAAGAGTTCGTCGAAGTTGGATGTGGTGGAGCGACTTGATCTGCAGGAAGCAGCCACAATTTGCTCACCTGCACTGCTGGTGTTGATGGATGACCTCGCTTCCAGCCAGATTTTTCCTTTTGATTCAAACAGCTGTGCCCTGCATGTTTGCCACAACTTAGACTCCTGGTGATGGTGGTGCCAGAGACACCTGCAAAGTCAGGCAGGCACTTGCAGGTGGTGCGGCGAGTTTCAAAACCTAACTTAAGTGCTCGGCAGCGCAGGTTCGTCCATCCGCGTCCATTCTGCCAAGATCGTCCGACGGCATATAGAGTGTTGAAGACCGACCTCTACAAGTGACTCGACTCAAAGGCAAGCAAGACCTCACGTGAACAAGCATGTTTTTGGTCAGAGAGCTTTTTTCGTTTCCCGTGAGGAAGTCGACGAAGGATTCCGTAACTTGACTGACCAGCTGGAAGTCTAAGATTGATACTTGCTCGATGCGAATGGATTGTCCTGACCACTTTGGAGTATGGTCACTTTTTTTTTCCAACGTTCATCATTCACCACTTTTTCATCAGTAATGGTGGGAGTCAAACATGTCATCAACCATAGAAGCCATAGCGCTCATAGCCCTCATCGGCTGCTTGAATACAGCATTGCTACGACAACATCAGTGGTCGGCGTTGCAGCTACGTGTGTGTGCTGTAGTCTTGCGCAGCCTACTTTGCCAAGGACAAGATCATCAAGATATCCCGGCCGATCAGCTCACTTGCCATTGGCCAAGCTGTTAAGGGGTTGGGGGTACTTGGTAAGAATTGCAGAATCCTCTATTCACACTGAACTTCAGGGGCCACAGCGCGCAGCTGCACCATACGAGGGACCCTAGTTGCCCTAGTTTCGACAACCTCCATGTGGCAACAAATGCCGAGTCACAAACTAAATTAAATGTGCCCCTGATTGCTTGCTCTTAACAACTTCTGGGGCAGCCAAATGGGGATGCATGGCAGGGATTGAAAATTTCCTCCCCATAGCAGAAAAAGGGAACCCGTGTGAAATAAGCAGAGTGAGGATTTTCTTGGCATCTCAAATGAGTAGCAACAATGCAAGCTGCAGCGAAAGTGTCTCAAGAGGAAGGCTTCTGATTGAGACATTCAGCGTGATTCTAGTTGGGCAAATGTCGCCGGAAGTGTTTGGCCGGCTGTTTTGCTCAGCTGATCCCTAGCAACACGCCCCAACATCCCTTTCTCAAGCAACATGCCCTTGGTATGTATGAAGTAAGTTGGATCAAGACGATGCAAGGTTCTCCACCCTTGGAGACGCATGTCAGAGCTAAAACAATGTGCCAGACGGACCTTCTCCGATGAACCAATTTTCCCGAACCTAACTTTGAGGATTCATGGGCTAAGTAGATCCTTAACTCAGATGTGCCACAATGAGGGAAGCATTTCTATGGGGAATTCTGAGGATGTTCCGCAAGCTAGGTCCTGATTGGAACACAGTTTAATGTTGAGGTTTCAATCTTAGAAGGGTTCATACGTTCGCAAGATCTGGAAACCCTAATTTTGTTTCAATCCATCTACTAAAGACTAGCCTGCTCAGTCAAGGAAATGCCTTTCAGAATTCCACGCTTCTTTCCAGGAATCAAGAACTCCACCTGCACCAGATGATGGGTTTCAGAGTGCGGAGAGGAGCGAGGGCAACATCTGTCAGGCATAGGCTTTTCCGGTAGCTGCTAGCATTTGTGACATCCCAGGAAATTTCAGTTGAACTACCAAGGAACCAGGGCTTTGCTTAGACAAGGTCAGGACCACGGGGGAGCTCTTCCTTGGTAGTGCTGGCGGCGTATGGGCCGAGTTGGACGCGGCGGCTGGCGAGAAGAAAGGCCGTCCAGTGCGCGTTGCATGCGTTGCCTTGTGTGTGGAAATTAGCATCTTGTCTCTGTCTGCAGCCTGGTGAGAGCAGCTGTTATCTGCATTCCGCGGGCAGGCTCAAGAAGAGTGTGTAAAACCGTAGCATCGGCAGCCAAACAGCAACTTGTAGCAGAGCATGGTCGTTGCACAGCAGGTGCGAAGAGTAGTAAATCTCGTCATATCTCACCTGTGTACATCGTAGTAAGGACCGCTCCATCAAGAGTGGTCCAAAATGCAACAAGCCTTTCCCCAACCAAGCATTCAGATGATTCTTAGCTATCACTTCTTGTTGCACATCCGATGGCTTTGCTTGAAGTGGATCTCGGTGATGGCCAGGTGGTGAAACTGGTGAACTCCTCCACCCGACAAGCAGCACCCTTCACCTTCAGAGCTCACAGGGTTCCAGCAAAGCGTCTGGTAAAGTTGGAGGCAGATCCAGCCCTTGAGGCCTTCAACTTTGAGATACTCAAAGACGATGAACCTGTGACCCTGGCTGAAACTTGCCTGAGGATTCTGCCCAGCCGCTCTGTTGATGGTCAAGGCGGGCGGGGGAAGTGGGCAACCTTCATCATCACGGCCCGTGACTCGGCCGGGGTTGCGCTGCGGGTGTTAGGCCATTGCCAAGAGCCCGCGTACCTCACTGACAAGGAAAACAACTTTGCAGCTGCCCCATCGTGTGATGACCCGGCCAGCCGCTGGTTCTTTCAACCCGTGCCTGTTGACAGACCCTTTGATAGCTTCAACCTCGCAGAAGAGGAGTACACGGCTTTTGCGAGGGATGGCTTCGTGATCTTAAAGAATGTCGTGCCGCCCAACCTTGTAGATGATGCATTAATGTTCGTCAACAACTTTATGGGCAAGGGCCCGTCCGCATGGGTCGTTGACGCAGATGCCACGACAGAGTCAGGTGAGGGCCCCAAAATGAGGCTCCCGCCGAGCAGCCACCCTTCGGTCATGCAGCTTGTTACTGGGACCTGCATCCATGCAGCGGCGGAGCGGCTCCTGGGATCCGGCAGGGTTGTCGTACCTGGCTCCGGAGCACTGGCTATCCGCTTTCCGGTCACAGATAGGCTTGAAAGGTTCGGCGACAAGCTGACGGAAGCATCATACAAAGTAGTACACCGTGACGACAGCACAGCACAGTTTCACATCGACGGTGCAGGCAAGGAATCTCCTTTGCCCTTTAGCCTCCTGTGCAAGGTGGCCCTCTCGGACCAGACTGCGCTGCACTGTGGGAACTTCACCGTATTTCCTGGCTCGCACCGCAACCCTGAGGTAATCCACTGGTACTTCGCGCAGATGGGCAAAAAGCCTGTGCCGGCACCTGTGCGACCAGCGGTGGGCGAGCCACTACAAGTGCGGCTTGCCGTGGGTGATGCTGTTCTGGTGCATCCATATCTCTGCCACCGCATTGGGACCAACACCTCCCCGCACGTTCGTTATAGCGTGATATTCCGATTTCGCAGCAAGGACTTCGCAACGATCGTTTCCGATCAAGAGAAGCTGTTAGAAAACCCGATGCTGGACTTTCCCTGGTTTTGTCCTGATGTAGGCTTTGCTGCAGATGACCAAGAAGACAACGTGAATCAACGCAAGACCTCTACCTGATCCTTGTACAGTTCTTTTGATGGCTTGCTGGACTCGAGCTTTCTTGGCGCTGGTGTTGGCGATGACATTGTCTGTGCCCTCCTCTGCTGACGTGATGCAGGGGCAAGACGTGCAGGTAGCTTTACTTTTGAGGACAGCTGCAACTTGCTTGTGCATAGAAAGGCCTACTTTGAGGCAATTCACGTTGCGTGGTGCATCTGCTGATGCCGCATGGGATTGTCAGTTGTATCCCTTTTAGAGCATCTTAAGCCCTCGCTTGACAGGCTGGGTCTACGTCAAGGCCAGGATGGCAATGAAACTTTCAAGTGAGCTGGCTGTTGCAATATGTCGCGGTAGAAAACCTTCTTGTTGAAACAGACAGTACTTGTAGTAGGAAAAGGAGGAGTGTACCACCGCAGTGCTGAGTTGCAGGGCCCTGGCTTCGGAGCCAGCAGCTGTAAAGTCACCGATGAGTACCTCACGGCGTAGGCCAGAATCTGCATCTTGGGTTTTGTCTGTGAATCCTACCTCAAGTAAGGAAATTGCGGGAAGCCCCGAAGGCGAAGAATTCTGGGAACAAAAGCGGGGTTTTCACGACACTCCCACCATAATGGGAGTATTTTGTGAGTGTGTTGATCAGACACATTCAAGACCGAGTGGTATGTAAGTGATGATTGGGGGATGGATTGAGGAGTCAGGCTTGGGGGTCTACAGCTACAGGGCACGGAATAAGCATGAGTAGTTGTGATAGCGATTGGTTGTGGGATTCAGACGACCAGGACCCATACAGGTGGCGAAGCTTGTTATCAATAAGGCATTTCAAACTCCATGCAAGAGGTCATTAAGGCATCCAACACGTTCAATGACAAGTGAACCAAGCATTAAACAGCTGAATTTTGAAAACATAGAGTCACCAACACAGACACCCTTAAATCCTGAACCCTGGGTCCTAAATCTTGTTTGATCCTAAGAGCAAGGCGCCGCTCGCTGGCTGAAGCCTGACTTTGGGAATTGTCCCCAAAGACGGCTGATGGATCGGGGCCCTCTCAGCTGATATGAGCCATAATCTAAACTCCATAATGTAGGGCTGTTAAGGAGGATGCTAGGGAGTTTAGACTATAGGTCAGATGGGCATTGTGCAGGTTTTCTAGCTTTAGAGTTCGTTCATAGGCCTGCAGGAGGGTACTCAAGGATTAAAGTTTTGGAGGCTTCTCAAGAAAAGGGGATCGTGTCAATGGGGTTCTTGCAGTTAGCGCTCTGCTGTTTGATTTGTGGCTAAGGTCTGGATCAGGGTTCCTCAGTGCTTTGTTTTTGTGACTCACATGCCGGTTAAAACTGGACAGATGCTCAGATCAAGCTTGGAGGGTCTGCTGCTACATTTTCCGCGACGGCGAATGAAAATTTGCATGTGCTTCGAGACGAGCCGGTGCTGAAGTCAAACTCAACGCGGCCAGACAAAAGCTGGCAGGTACGTGGACGAAGAACGTAATCTTCCGCTTCAGGAGCTCACGAGCATGTACGGTGCGAGTTGTTGTGCGATCTTGCATGGTTGGTTTTCTACAGTGCAAGGAGGTATGATTCCTGCTGAGTCATGTCTCCATGTTTCTGCGTCGGCTTTTGTGCTTTATTCTGCCTTCAGTTCATCGGTGACCAACTACAGAAGAGATTCCATAGCAGGAGATGTTCTGCGACATTTTCGACCCCGCCACACAAAGTTGGACATCGCTCCCGGCTGCCGCCTATAGCAGCCTTGGTGTTGGACCAGGTCAGAAGTCAGGTTGAAGAGTTGGAGGGTGCGTGTGAACTGACAACGTCTTGTTGGCCATCTCAAGGGTGCAAAGGGAAGCGGTGTGTTTTTTGTGGCTTTCGGCCAGGACGGAATGGTGGAACTGATGTCGGGATTGCAAACATCATTGCCACCGCTACCTTCCCCTAAATTGATGTCCTTTGCTCTCGCCATGAAAGCTAGCGTTGTGTCGTTACCAGGCATGTTCGAGCGAGCCGCGTTTTTCGGTGCTGCCGCGGCAGGGGACTTAGAAGGGCAGCGTTCTTGACCCAAACTCAGACTTGGTCCACGTTCGAGATTTACTTAGAAATGGCAATGTGCAGATTTGGCTCTGATCTGAGATGCTCAGTGTTCGACTATCGTTCGGCATTTGCATTCGGTCCCGTCACCATCATGCACATCATTTTTTCTGACATTGGTATGGCTGACCGGGTGCTCCGTGGCACCTTGCTCTGAGCCACAGATTTCAAGAGTGAATTCGATATTATTGCAAGCCCTTCCAGCAAGCCTCACAAATATATGCTGGCGAAGTCCTCGTTCTGAGGTCGAGGGCCGTGTGGTGGCACTCGTGGGCGGAGTTACAATCGACACTTGCCAAACAAGTTTGTTGCAGCTCGTAGTTTGCGAGATATCTGACATATTATGGACAGCTTTGCAGCAACCGGGATGTCCCGTTCTTGCGGCCTGGTTTAAGGCCTACAACCCCAGCCTGCCGAAAGATGGCTGGAGAGCTGTGGATGCCCCTACCAGCCACGTGAAGGCTGGCTCAAGATCGCTAGAAGAGGCTCAAGATCGCTAGAAGAGCAGTAAGGACATAGGTGCAAGCACTTTCGAGTAGAATCAGCCATCATGGTGGAACTTTTTGTGGATCCGTCCATGTGAGGCTTCAGCGAGGTCTTGAAAGCTAAATCTTGTTTGACTCGAGGCCTGGACGTATCGAGCTTTTCAGCTGACTTTTCACCGTCGCGGAATCTTGCAAATGTCCGAGTCTGGCGTCAGAATGCCATCGTTCGCTTGGGCCCTACCTTCACAAAAACATTCGCACGGCAGCAATGCAAGACGCCCGTGATGAGCATTTTTGAGTTCTAAAACTTCGGAAGGAATTTCGGAATGCCAAAACTTGCTAGAGCTCTCACACAAAGCCGTGGGCAAATGGTATGAGCTTTTGTCTGCAGCTTGTTCCTTCTGAGCGACTGCAGCAGCTCCAATCCAGATCTTGGCTCAGAAGCTCTGGATACCGCCGTGCTCCCGGCCCCGAAAGATTTCAAAAGTCCCTGCTGTGAGCCTTGAGTGGTTGCAAAGAACCCTTTAGCCTCCGGTGGATCACAATCACCATGGTGATGATAACCATGATGGCGATGATCATTATCTGATCGTGAGTATCATCATCATCATCATCATCACACCAGAGCCCCAGAATGAGGATTTTGACGAGAGAAATTCAGGATGAGCTAGATCGCGGGAACACTCATGACAGGCTGTCAACAGCAGAATGGCCACAACGGCACTGAAGCATCTCTGACACTTCTTCGTCTTGGTGTTTGCGGTGTAGTCCCTCTGCTTTCCTGGTGGTTTCTCAAGCTCTGGCCCTTTTTTTGGCCTGAAGACCGAGCCCAGGCATCAGCTGCGAGAGTTTCTTTTCTCCTTGCACGGCCCTGACTTTAAAACCCTGAGCCTCGAAATCTTAAACCCCCACACCCTAAATTCTGACCTCGAAACTTGGTCTAGTGAAGGCTTACCTCCCTCTTAAGAGGCCATGAACAAAACAAAAAAACTTGGTGTGTCGTGCAATTTCTCTACTTCAGGTGGGTGCCTCCTCCTGTTCGTGCGCCTTCCAGGGCGAGCTGCTCCTTTGTCTTTCAAGCGAGGGTAGAACTGGCACATGTCTAGGAATCGGAGATGCTCTTACTTGTAGACACCTTCTCCAGGACATTTGTGGGGTTGTCACAGGAAGATCATATTGGTTTTGTTTCTGGTTAATTTAGCCTGTGTTTGGGTTTGCCGCGTGGCCATGACCGAGTCAAGTACTGCGCCCAGGGGTCATGTTGTGATTGTTGTGTCAGGATTTTGGATTTGAGGGTGTGCGTTGATCCAAAGGCCCACGTGTACTTTGGCAGCGTGAGTGTTTCTGTGATGTTGTGATTGTTGTGTCAGGATTTTGAATTTGAGAGTGTGCGTTGATCCAAAGGCCCACGTGTACTTTGGCAGCGTTTTGTGTCAGTGGTTTTGTGATGTTGTGATTGTTGTGTCAGGATTTTGATTTGAGAGTGTGCGTTGATCCAAAGGCCCACGGGTACTTTGGCAGCGTTTCGTGTGAGCGGTTCTGTGATGTTGTGATTGTTGCAGGATTTTGATGTGAGAGTGTGCGTTGA